TAGTTATAAAACTGTAAGTGTTCAAATAGATAAAATGCAAACTGTGCGGCAGTAAAAGAATAAAAGAAAGACAGTAAGAAGAAAGAAGTAAAATAAGAGATAAAGACAAATATGGAAGACTTAAGGATAACAAATGTTTGAAGAGGTTTCTTCGCCAAGACATTCTATTTGCCATTTTATAGTAAGTTAATCTTGTAACGAGTTTATTTTGCTGATAAAGAGTATTTGTACTGCGTTTTACTTTTACTTTTCTTAAATAGATAAATAAAAATCCATAGATAACATCACGAATATCAATTGTGAGTCCGAATTCCCATGTAATATCCTACACTCAGTGCTCATCCTTATGAGCACTGAGTGTCTACTGCCATCCACCGGACACAATTTTAGCCACCATGGTGTTATTTATAAGTTGTTATTCTATAAATAATTATCTCGATATCGCAAATTGTACTTCCATTCGGAACAATGTTGTGCCATGAAATATATTCTTTAAAAAGTTCCAAGTTCAAGAAAATCAGAAATCGAGATGTATATATTTTTAGGAGGGGATAATCATCGAATGGCTGCTCCCGCCTGGGTGAGGCGGGACGGAGTGTCAGACTCTTACTGAGGGCTATTTTTTGACTGCCGCGCGACGGGTTGCGGGTTCGATTCCCGTTCGGAACAACTCTTTGTGTGATCTACAGATTGTGTTTTCGGGTCTGGGTGTCATGTATATGTGAACTTGTATGTTTGTAAACGCACCCACGACACAGGAGATAATCCTAGTGTGGGGCTATAAGTTATAAATTAGACTAGCTAGCTACTTAGGACGTACTTTTAAAGGTACCAAAGATTAAGATTACCTAGCTATCACTCCAATACATACCATAGCCATTAATCCATGTCTTTTAAACTGCATGAGCCCTATATTCAACAGACCCCGGTCTGTAATCGTGTGACTATTACTAAGGCACGTGATAAGCGCCATCCACCTCATTTGTACACTCGACGTAGTTCCATCATGGATGCCACTTTGATGATAGATTGAATAGCAACAATTGACAATCTGTAGGTTAATTTGAACTTGTATTTATCTGTCACTAGATGTATAAGAAGTTATGTATTGTAAAGGACTACCTCGTTGGTCTAGTGGTCGCAAGTGCGACTGCCGGGTAGTAGAGGGTCTCGGGTTCGATTCCCGGGTTGGGCAAAATATTATTGGGTTTTAAAAAACATCTCAGTAGTAGTAAGAGTCCGGGATCGGACAACTCCGCTTACACGGTATTATGGCAATAGGCTCACCCGCTATTACATGGGACACATAACATAAATAGTGAAAAGTGGATGTTACATTGTACAGTGGCATAAAGTGACTTAATGTACACCTCTGCCTACCTCTTCGGGGATAAAAAGGCGTGATATTATGTTATGTTATTTAAAAGATTCGGTCCTATAAGTAAGTAAACCAAAATTTGTTTAACACAACAGTTGAAAATTGTGAAAAATCTCCATTGCGTCAGACACCCGTGACAGGCACTCTAACGGTTATCTATTACTTACCCTATAAGTTGGTAAAGACGCAAACTTTAATAATTATAAAAAAGATAACTATAATGTTCTTGTAAGAGATGATTTTATTACAAACTGCCGCGTCCAATAACTTGGTACAGAGATCTTTAAATTATTTTAAATAGGTTCATAATATTTGAATTAATTACAAAATCAATTACAGTACATGTTTCTTAATTCAGTCTTAAAAACATCTTAAATTTTTCGCTATCTATTTTTTCTACAATGCACAAGACAAAAAACAAGAGCATCCAAGCTACAATAAATCAAATAAGTATCTCAAATTCGGCAATAATTATTTTTTGTTTGTAACACTAATCGACAGTTTTGATCGCGACCTGTGGTACCATTGTTCTAATCTATTAGCAGTTATTACAGGATGTTACACTATATTTTATTTCGTCTTTAGCTTTTTGTGATTCGTTTTTGCACGTCTCTACTCTATTGTTTTAACGAGAGGAAATCAGTTAATGTAGCCTCAGTTATAAAATTATGAGTACGTTTTGATAACAGGGGCAAGGCACCGTAAGAATTATGAGTCATTGTTAACCTCTTTATGTAATAGGTATGTACCTATATGGTGATTATAGTAATTATGAACCTTCTATCAGATACACTGATCAAATATTTGATTTGTGATTGTATGATTATACGGAATGATGGCAAGTATCATCATCATCATCAACAGCCTATATCAGCCCACTGCTGAGCAAAGCCTCTTCTCACACGTAGAAGGTAATTGCGTGCGGGTTGGCAATTACAAACTTATAATTAGAAATTATAAGCCCAGGTTTCCTCACTATGTTTTCCTTCACCGTTTGTCAGTGGTGTCTGGATAATCTTATAAAGTATATTTAACTCGGAAAAAGTCGCATTGGTACTTGCCGTTGGTGGGTTTCAAACCCACACCCTCATGTATGAGAGGTGGGCGTCTTAAACCTCCGGGCCACCACGATAATGTTTTTCATTTCCCTATTTACAATATAATAATATTGCGTTGCGCGAAGTCGCTAGTCTAAGCGTACAAATAGGAGCTCCAGAGCTGATCTAATTATAAAGATCTCCCGGTCTTCTTTATAGATGCTGATGGTGGCCACTAGGGTGGCTTTTGTGAAGTAAAAATCTCAATCTCTATAAACTTTCGCGTAGCACAATGTCCATCATTAAGATACAAGGAATCTGATGAAAAGTACCTACATACTGGTCGTGAACTCGTGACCACAATCAACCTGGTTGAAACATCAGATGGAATACCAAAAGGAAACAAAACCGTAAAAAGTCTTAGTAATTACCGTTGTTATACCTACAGCATTGTTCTTCATTTGAGTAACAATTAAACTGCACAAAATCAGCCAAAACATCAGCAGATCATAAATACAGATTGTTACTGTACAAAAACTATAACCATTAATTAACAATTTTTAACTGAAATACTAACCACTGAATAAAAACTTTTTACCTATCTAAGTAAGTACCTAGGTAGAGATGAGTTAAAATATTTTTCATAAATAAGTAAGAGACTTAGAACGTATAATACTTGGCTAGAATAAGTTTGTAGCCCGTAGCTTGAGAGCTATCATATGTGACTGCTAAGTTTTTATCTATTTTAAATAAGATTACATATTTGTACTTAATCATTAGATAGATAAGATTTTTTATTGGTAATACCTGAGTTCCTTAACGGACCTTCCAAAGCTGTTCATCACCCAATGATAATTAACGTAGTCAATAAAAATTCTCAATTATATTTTAGCTAATATGGACATCAAACTAAGGACCTTTATATGGTTGCATCTTAGAGACGAAAGAGGGTATCATTAAAAGATGATCGTTATAATGTACAGTTAACTAAACGATACACAATTTTAGACCAATAATAGTGTTGAGTAATTATGTCTTACGTCAGCTGATTGGAGAGGTCCTTGGCATGAATGAACTATGAATAGTGAGTGAATGAATTTGTAGATATTACATATCAACAAACAGGCTCCAAATTATCTTTTGTTTCTTTAAATTCTGTGTTCGAAATTAAAAAAAGGCTATTGAATGAAATTGTGAATGTGCCAGGTTAAAAACTGCATAAAAACTTTTTGCTCGACTTAATATAACATTTCAGCTAGGACCACACGAAACTGAAAATACAAGGTGGGCCAATAGATGTGTCTAGAAGTGTATAAGGTTTATTAAAAGGATATCAAAAGATTTTAAAGCTTTGACTTTTAAGGATACCTAGATTATTATAACATCATCACACTTTTTATACCTTGAAGATATTTAATTTAATTAGCACATAAAGGCACACATCGCCCACTTCTCATCAGCCATGATAAGAGACCCAGTAACTAGACCAACTAAGTACGGAAGGACCAAAAAGTTATATAATCATAGGTAATATAAATCATAAAAACCCACGTGTTAAGACTTCGAAAATAATTCCAACTATGTAATAAAATAAACTAAATAGTAGTCCAGGCATCCATTACAAATAGTTTAGTTTATCTAGCTAGTACACAGCAGTCACTATCGAAGGTATCGATCGAATTAGCATGAGCCGCGCGCCTACGCAGCGTATCGAAGGATCTTCTTGCGAACAACGCTACTGCTAACAATGTTCCCTTTAGCTTTACATCAAATACAAGATTTTTCTCTTGGATAAAATGTCCATTTAACGTGGAGATTTATTAGCGATATATCAGATTTTTTGAGATTTATTACTCGGTTCAGCGATTGATACTAAAGAAGTTATTTACCGAAATAGTTATTTAAACTTTTAGTCAATTTTAAATGTAGGTAGATAACAACATAAAACAATGGCACATTGTTCGAACAAGGACGTTGAGAAAATAAGAATTATACCGTTAGAAAGTGTAAGCATTAAATATAAACATCAAAAAAAATTCTTTCCTTTGTCAAATAAACTGTAAAAAAATATAAATTTTAATGAAGAAGTTCCGTTGTTAAACCTCTGTGGTGTATACCAAAGTGTAACCAGCCAGCAATGTTGTGCGATAAATCGTTTTTGCTACAAAACCCTTCGTCACGACTGGGCCATGCATAATGTAACTCAGCTTGCTCCTTCGACAATTTTCAAATATCCTGCGTGTAATACTTTTACCGCTTTCAATCATTTTGTAACGGTTTCCCTTAATGGCTAATTGCGATAAAAATCGGCATTTACGATACAAGGATCATTAAAGTTGTTGTTTTAATTCAATGTTTTATGTTACGGTTCTTAATATCGACTGTCCCTTAATTAGACATCAACGAGCGCACTCGAATGTGTTTATTTTAAGAATCGAATTGGAAAGATAGTTATTAACTTATTACCTACGTTGTTGTTTTTCAATAAAACAATACATCTAAATAATGGAAAGAATTTGAAAATTAATTTCGTGTTCAATAAAACAGAAAATCGAACTACTAGAAAATTAATCACTGGTACTCACCAAAAAATCCTTTCAGCACTATTCAGTAATATCACAAACACACACGTTCAGTCTTATTCTGGTAGAGAATAATCAAAACTAGGAATTTGAATTAAGAAGTCGTTGTCGAAGTGTGGCTCGGTTAGGTGTCGGTTTGAAAATGGCTAGTTTTCGTAGGGGCTGTAATTGTCCTTGCGTGGCGAGCAAGGTCTCGGCGAGGCTGTGTAAAGCTGTGTGAGGATGCGCGGCGCGACTCCTCAGCCTCTTATACCGTGCGTATGGGCAACACATGATACACTTGGCACTCTTATCGATACTATTAAACGCGTCATGCCATTCGTGGGGGCTCCGTACACTGTTTTGTTTTTTATCGACAATTACTATTTGTGTGTGTATCTCGATTGCGATTAAATAGAGATTACCGATTCATATCGTGTGCCGAATCATCACTAGTATGGGATTATAATGAGTTTGTTAAGTGTTATAATTTGAGTTTTTGTGAGTTACGTTTTTGTGGTAAGGGATGTACCTACTATTGTTGTACCTATAACAGACAATTAGACAGTCAATTATTTTTATAGTTCGGTATTTATTTGATTTAAAAATCGACCTTATATAGTGTGTGTACGTATAATAAAATGTTCAGTGAACTTCAACGGCTTATTTGTTTATCGCGAAGTTAATAATAGAACAATGTACAAGATAAGTGCTGTAATACAAAGTTCTTTAATAGATGTATACGTGCTGAATAATTAAACTGTAACAACATAATTGCATGGGTATATAACTTGAGGAAAAAAGTCCTAAGGAAATAAATAATAAACTAGACTATCTTATGATTTAATTGAAGACTAGACTAGATTAACTGATGAACTGATGATGATATTTAGAGATACATGTATCAATTTGTTTTTTCTTGGTATATTAATTAACCGACTACCTCGTTGACCGAGTGATCGCAAGTGCGACTGCCGGGCAAGGGGTCTTGGGTTCGATTCCCGGGTCGGGCAAAGTATTACTGGGTTTGTTTAAAAATTCTCAGTATCAGCACGGAATTTGGGAATGTGCCCGTTATGTGGCAATAGGCTCACCCCCTATTACATGGAACTCATAACATACATAGTGAAAAGTGGGTGTTACATTGTACAGTGGTATAATGTGCACCTCTGCCTGCCCCTTTAGGCGTAAAAGGCGCGATGTTATGTTATGTTATTAATTAACCGACTTCAAAAAAGAGAGGGTTGAAATCGGATTTTTCAATGTATGCTACAATAATATGTCTCAAGAATCGAATCCATAACCTACTCGATCACCGACTGCACCTTAACGTGCCATCAACCTGTCTAAATAGATAAATCAAATCGTGACCTAACAATCATGAACTTGACTAGACTGATAGGTATTGTCAACTCTATACAGTATAATAATTCATAACGTAAAACTATGGCCATATTTCAAGAGGTTAATGAACTCATATACATATCTACGTATGTGTAAGCAACACTAACTACAGCCCGTAGCATCCTAAGCGTTTATAATCCCGTATTTTTTTGAGTCCCAAATTTTATTATCTATCTTTTTTAAAGCGTATTCCTGCACTAGAATTTGCTCCATTGTGTGATTAAGTGTTAGTAAAATACACTAAAATACATTTAATATAATTATACTTACACTTCACACCCAAACCAGGAAGTCCAACAATTTGCGAATCACTCTTGTTTCGTGAGGGAATCGAACTCACGACATGTTTGACAGCAGCCTGTCGCACAGTGACTGCGCCAACCGTGCAATTATCTCTAATTTGGGAGCTCCTGTGTGATTTCGTGGTATATAATTTTTGTAATTCTCAGTAATAAACACTTATTAACTGTATGAACTTGTACAACAACACCGATTTGAGTGCAGGAAGTATTAAAATTTCCTCTAATTCAGTATCTAATTATTTATATCTATACTAATATTATAAAGAGGAAAGATTTGTACCTATTTTTGTATGTTTGCAATGAATAGGCTCAAAAAGTATTGGGCCGATTTAAAAAATTGTTTCACCAATAGAATGCTACATTCTTCCAATTTGACATAGGCTACATTTCATTTTGAAAAAAATTAGGGATCCTTGGTGAAATTTTAACAATGTAACCGAAGGTGTAGAAAAATGAGTCTTAAAATGTCTTTCGTCGAATGCGCTGCCGAAACTATTAGCGATTGAACAAAATAATGTACAACAATATTGAAGAACATCATAATGTCTACAAAAAACTCCGGGGTAGCATACATATGTCCAACTATTGTAGTTATGTCATTACAACAATCGAAATTTCCAAAAATAAATAATTATCTACCCCGTGCGAAGCCGGGACGGGCTGCTAGTTACTTATAATGTCATTCACTTTTCACTGAATGTTCTATTTAATCTGTATTCAACCTCCTTTTATATAAAGGAGGCCCAATAGTTCAGTAATGAACTGCTATGGTCTGTTGACGAGATGAGTTTGTATATAATAGTTATTGGAGATTTTGTTCAGGTCGTCACCTTATCCGTCGCCTTCAGAAAATTCAGGAGGAAATTCACATTTTGAGGAGTCACGACTGTTACATCTCAAATGATGTAATTCTTAGTTAATTTATTCAATTTTGTCGCGTTACGTTGCAAATTGTGAATGGCGCGTAGTTTTTAATTATCTGATGTTAATTAGTAACAGCTGATTTCAAATAAGTACTGCATGCTAGCAGCCTTGACTTTGGTCGCGTTACCGGTTGTTTAGATACAAAAAAAAAAATTAGTCGTCACCACCAACTGACACTGTTGAACAAAGGTCCCACTTATAAAACGAGGTTTGCTACAATCCTCACGCTTGATAAATCTGAGGATCACAAGTAGGTCACCGAAAACATGAACGATTCTGCTACCCGTCATGTGATTGGTTATCGTATTAGGTAGGACATACCGCGGTTCATAAATAACTAAATAAAAGATGACTAACAATACAACGTAACATAATTTTCATCACATAACATGTTTCAAAAACGGGATAATAACTGACCTTACCAGTGAATTACCATTCAAATGTTATAAACCAGTACATTGTCAACTCCACAGGCGTGCAACGTTTAAGTTAAATTATATTGACGTGAAATTTATCTCCACCTGGAAGGAAGTAACGGCACTTTATAACATCTTCAATTTTTATGTAACAATGTGCCATAATTTTATGGTTTTATTCCGAAAAATAAAATACGTAAAAAGTAAGTAGTACATACATACTCTTTTCGGCTTCACCTAAATAGGTATTGTATACTCACTGTGTTGTATTGTGTTATTTAAAAATAAGATTAAATTTAGAACTTTTTAGTGAGAAAGACTACGAAGTATAGGACTGTCACCTAACGAGAACCACACTAGTGACTCCCATAGTCCTATATGTACATACAAAGCAGTACGGGGTCCTCGAAGTAGAGCAGCCGGAGCCACACTGTGCCTACCTGTCTAACTTGATACATAACGATATCAAAACACAAGCTGCCAAGCTATATATGCAATATACGTACGTCGTACATGTTCAAATAACAATTTCGTGCTCGACCACCAAAAAAAATTAAAATGACTACAGAGTCACCAGGAAAACATTATTGGTAATTGGTACGATTACGTTCAAACAAGACCCTTCATCGAAGCGTATTGTTACGCTTGACTTCATTCTAAGGTACTTACTGATACCCCACTTGTAACTATACCGGGAAACCTAAAGCACTTTAAACCCTTAAGAGAAGAGCATAGGTACTCCTTTTCAAAAGGCCGGCCGGCAACGCATTAGGGTCGCCTCTGGTGTTGCAGGCGATGCTGTTAGCTTAGTATCAGGCAATGTCTCTACTCGTTTGACGGCAAAAAGGCAGAAGCAACCCTTAATTTATGGGATGCCGTCTCCCCCATGTTAGCTCAGGAGGTCGCGTGAGGCTACGAACTACCACCTCCTCACAACCCAGCCGACGCGAAAGACACTCCTGGCGTTGGGTATCGTGAAATGATGATCTCCGGCCTCCGTAAGCAGAACCAGACTCGAGCGTACCTACGGCGCATCGCGTGCCGGTCGCGCCTCAAAGAGCCATGAGACCACTACGTATGGGGCCCTGTAGATGTGATCGGAGGAGTTATCGAGTTGCCGTGGCCCAAGCTCGAAGGGCAGGAGTAGGAACAGAATGGTTTCTAGTCAGTAAGAGTCTGACATTTCCTCTCGCCTCACCCGGGTGGGAGAAGTCATTGAATGATATCGCCCCCCCCAAATAAACCCTTACTTCATTCAATAGCTTCTCAAATTATACTTAGGTTTCTACTTCAATAATGTAATATGCACAAGAAATGACGTCATGACAAATTGGCGCACCGTGCATAATAAAACACGATTACTAGTCATAATAGTCATGCAACAGTAATTTGTAATCATCCTGTAGATAGTGTAGACAAGGGAGCAGTCACGAGATTTTATGAGCAAAGATATTAAACTGACAGGCTTTGTAATAGAACCATAGTTGAATGTAGATGTAGGAAAATATCCATTAGGCAAGAAGTTATTAAAATAAAAGCATTGACATACTGTACTTCTTAAAAAAGTAAGGAGATGTAACTCAAGTTACTATCGATCATTCACGAGCCAAGTGACTCAAGACAAAGTATTGTTGAAGTAAATGATCCTTGCAAGTTACACAAAACTTCAACCTAAACTGGATTTAACTGGATACTAGTTCATCGGAACTTATTTGATTTAACTGAACGTTTGTCTGAATTGCACCTAAGTAAAATGACTAACACTCTGTTTCCCTTTGCGGGGAATCACAAACATGATATTTGTTGTATCAACCATTTGTATTTTCCAAAATGACGATAGGTAGTAATTTAAAAATATGCAAGGAACACTTGATTAATATCAGCTTTTAAGACCTTAAGTTCAATTATCTTATCTACCACTTATAGCCAGTCTTATTTGGACTACCTACTACCTAGTCCCAAAAATACCAATCAATCTTCTTTCCTTAATGTTGTTTATTCGAATTTGTGTTTTAAACCATAATAAATTAAACATTTTGTTGCAGAAACAGGTTTAATTGCTATCTTGTCATATGTTCACACTTACTAGCCTATAAGTCATTGAGGATTTAGTGTTAACAGCTTTATCTAACAATAATTCATGGGTCAAAAAATCAGGATAAAAAAAACAAAATTTAAAGTAAAAATATGTCCAAAATTTAGGCTAACGACTAGCATATCGTGAATGAATCTAGCGATTCCCGTTACGATGCGATCATTTGACAAATTGATTCTTTATTTTTTGTAATGAATTGTAAATAAAAAAAAGAAATGTCAAAACGCTATATTTAAACGGTTAGATATATTTATAGCTTTTGTACGTAATCTCGGAGGCAAGAGCTGTCATGTTTTTTTTTTCGATTAAGAATCACTTAACTCATCGGAAAATGATAGAGGCTCTCAAGACACTTAGTTGGAAGATGACCATTTATACAGGTAACCGTTATGTGATCACGCGTAATACATTTTTGGCGGGCAAACATATATGTATGGTACAAGTACAAGTAAAATCAACAACCATTTTATACTTTATCCAAAGTCGCGTTATTATTTTCCATAATAATTGCAGTAATTTTTCATTTTTTTCACGTTTATTAATATAAATGCTATCTGAATCTGATATCGTGGAATGCAGTTACCTTTTTAGGGTCAAATCGATATTTCAAACATTATTGTTTGTTAAATATTGGTTATGATGTTAATATGATGGATTTTACAAGCGTTTTGTGACACCTTAACGTTTTTTGTGGTTTGCTACCTGAGTTTTACAAGGATCTACAGAACTTCGCTAAGTGTACATACTATAGATGTAAGTATAGAGATTAATGATACCTACTCGGACAGTTGACTGTATAAACTATTGGAATTAGTTATTTTAGTTTATTAGCTATAATATCCAGCTGGCCCTCATATAGTAATTTAAAGCGTGACATGTAAAAGTGTTACTTTGTAAACTATGGTTGTAACCTATTTGCAGAAATAAATATTTCTGCATTTCATTTAAAATAATCACATCTTTCGTATCACGGGATAAAGGATTTCTCAATGCATGTTTACTTACTTCACGCTCAATGACTTTAGGATATGAGGAGAGTCCTAACACTAAACGTCCTAAAAGAGTTCAAACAATCGTGAAAGTGATTTCTAAACAATATAATTTCAAGCTTGTAATGCCCAGAAGGGCAGAAGCGAGTCTAAATGTAGTCAAGTAGGTACATTTATTTATATAAAAATCTCATTTTCATCATTTTTGTAATAAGCTTCTTGGTTTTAATTAGGACTTTACAAACCCAAAAGAGACCTCGCACTCAGCACATTTACGATCGACTAAAAAGGCATTGATTGCGGGAAAAATAAAATCCAATGATCGAAAAACATGGACAGTCCTACTCCATGCAATAAACAATTAAACAAATCACTACTTCAGCTAACGGTCCTCTCAAAGATATTTGGCAGACTCAAAAATGTAATTGTCAGGTGGAATTCCAAAATGACTTTCATATAAGGGCCGGTACAACTATAAAATGAAATGCCCCAAGTCCCAAGTGATGTAGTTTAATGACTTACGGCGAACACACGCCATTTTGAAATGAACGAGTAGGTAATTATTAAAAATAATTATTATTCAAGCTCCATCTTGATGCCATGGGTCGTCGTTAACTACAAACTAGAATAAAACAATTCGACCGCTATTCAAGTTTAAGAGAAATGTTTTATGAATATTTTCAAGGACATGTATTTGTTTAACCATGAAGAAGTTAGTGTCTATAATGTCTATGTGTTTTATAAACAGTTTCATAGGTACCATCTCGCCTATAAAGAATATTAGAAATCCTAGAGTTCGACCGACACACCTAGGTAGTCACAGACCACAGAGCTTAGTAGGTGGTTGCACTTGCAATCAGAACCGGGACAGATGGTATGTACCTAATGTTTTTTCACCAATAAATAAATTAGTACCTATCTAGAAATCTTTCTACTCAGTACTAATTCAGTTATGTAGTATTTATCTTTGTCGGTATCTGTAGTTACTGGATATATACCCAGTAAAGTAAGTACCTACCTACAAAGTTTTCTTGTCATTGGTTCTGATATTCGACCAACCCCTACTTTTAAATATAGGCACTTATTCCAAAATCAAAAGGAAAGAATGAAAGTGCCTACACCGACATGTAATAACCCGTGCTTAGCACTTGGTTTTGGGATCGAATTTTATTACATAGTCCATAATATATGTAGGACGAGTTCATACAATAATAGACAACACCTATTGCTTACCAATTCTAACAAATACACATTTTTGTGAAAGTATCATTCTTATCGATACTTTCGCAAATGTCTCAATTTGTCGTACCTATATTTTGTGTCAGTAGTCCATAGGTTGGTTCTTAGACCTATTGTTTACATCAAAAGTAGCTACTTATTCGTCATAATGACTCACATCTACTAAACCAGCTGACAATTTCGTCAAAAACATTATGTTTGTGTGTCAGACATGTGTCGTACATAGTAAAACATCGATCAACCTTGACTCGACATTAACCTCTTTATATCGATGTGAATGAATCGTGTTCCGTTTCTATAACAGTCTATTAAAGGATAGCTAGTAGGTAAGTACGTAGGTACCTATTATTATAGTGGTCCTTAAAATTCTTTTGTTTTTGTGACCTTCACCTTGTCGTCAGCGTCACATTGATAGATGTAGGTAGGTATATTGATATGTGACAATCGAGAGAATGCTAAACTTTATACGTAGGTATTGAGTGGATAGGACTAGGAGAAATGATCAATGGTCACGAATATCTACAACTGCCGAGCATGGGTCATGGAGATTTTTGGTCGTCACATATTCCTAGAAAAACCTTGAAATTTGTTTTAAGTAGATCCAACTGATATTACAAATAGGTGCACAATAGGCTAGTTAGCCAAATCCCAGATACAGCTATATCCCCGTCTTACCTATTGCCAGTAACATTTGCCATTTGTATATATACATAAGCTTTCAATTGTTTTCTTTCATTCCTCGTATGTCACATGTATATATCTACCCACAGCATGACATTTGACAACACGATTTACAAACAAAAAAAGAGAAGTAAAGATGAAGGTAAACCCAAATTCCCATACCATGTACCACTTGACCTATATATGGTTGTTTATAGCAGCTGCAGTTTTAACGGATGATGCTAAACGGAGCACATAAATTACCATGATAAGGTTCGCCGCGGACTCTTAAAACACGTGTCATTGACCCCGCAGGACAGGACTCGGTCACGATGTATTTTGGTGTCCCAAAACTTGCAAATTTCTTCGGATTTGTCTCTTTTTGAAATTTGTTGGGAAGTTGGTACCTACCTAGAAAAGTTCATGACCATATCAACCATAATAAGACGTCTACTGTTGAACATAATGCCTCCTCCAATGAATTCCTGATAGGTCGGTTAGAAGCGACCTGCTGTAGCTCTCTGCGTTCAATCAGTTCGTATAACCACCTTGAAACATCAGTTAAAAACTTGGAAATAAAACCTATGACGTTTTAAGCATGTAAATCAAGCATATAGTAGGTACTTATAAATTGTTAGAAAGGTTATTTTACATATTAAGGACCTTATGTAGATAGGAATCTAGTTACCTACATACTTGAAGAAGATTTAGAGTTCATACCTAGGTAGGTATGAATTCTAAATAAATCCTAAGTATGAAGTCCTGACTCCTGATTTGGACCCAAAAATTAAATTATCTTGGTTACCCTAGCTACAGTAATTTTCTGTGTCAACATAATTTTTCGAGTAGTAATAAATTAATTAACAAATCAATTTGAAGATTTTATTGTTTTTAAAGATTAAAAAGATAAAATCCGAAGACATGTAAATTAGAACAATAAATAGCTCTGTACCTATACTAGGTAAATGTTTTATTTACTTTGATAACAACCAAAACCACGATTACAATAACCAACTTCAACTTCCATACGTATTCCCCCTTAGAGCAGTGAGCAGTTGGCTTTATAATGGGATCTAGGTAGGTACCTATCTAGGATTTTTGGGAATACCCATTCAACATTTTGAGATTGCATTGCAATTGGTGACATTCGGAATTCGCAACTCGAAACCAAGCCTTTTTACTCAGGAGATGTACACGACCACTGGAATTTCTGACAAAAATATTATTCTTACAGTTCGCAACTTTGTATATGTTATAATAATACTTAATAAGCAGCGGATTCCAATACAAACAATTATTATTATATCGTAATAATTTAAATAGTGTGAAAAATCGACTAAAATAATTATATTTTATATGGCAACATTTGACATTCAATATCTATGTAACCACTACTCTATTCTACGTTTCGATTTCGAATTCCGGTTCCGACGAGACGTCAACGCTAAATTTATCCGATTTTTAGTATTTTTGCTAATTAATTTCCGTCAAAGAATAATATCTACATTCAAGCACATACCCTGTGATCACAGAAAAAAGATTGCAATACATAAATTCAATCATGCCACGCGGTAAGTCTAGCGTATACGTGTTGTTTTTTCTCAATGTCGTCCAATGTTATGAGAATGTGCTTTCATCAGAAATTCTACGTATTTTGTAGCATCTCTGCTACGCAACCAACAAAGTTAATTTATGCAAAGTTTATCCGATATATTGAAGATGTGATTTCCTATTAACTTAGTCCAATTGGAAGTTATTGATTGTTTCGTTGGCCTAACCTTTGTATAATAGTGATTATTTTGTTTGTGTAATGTTACAGGTAAGTTCACGAACCACAAGGGCCGTAACCGCAAGTTCACGAGCCCAGAAGAGCTAGAAGAACAGCGCAAACAAGAAGAACAGAAGCAAAAGTAAGTGTTTTAATAATTATTTCATAATTTTTAATTATTGTCTATGATTCTATTAACGCATTTTGTAGATTCGACACCACAGCGTATGTACGTAGGTAAAGGATTACTTAACTCGGTAAAATATTTGTTTGATTATCATTTCATTTCTCTGATCAAATTGTTGGTGGAACAGACTACCTATGCAAATTAAATAGGCTGCCTTGATATTGATACTCTAACATTATAATGAAGTAAAATAGAGTCTTATTAGTTCCTTCTTGGAGTACTTAAGTGTAACTATAATAAGTCTGTTATGAAGAACACATACATAGTTTTCTATTGCCTCTAAATCAATGTTGAGTCATTAGAAATTCTAAGTGTTCATCTATATATATAAAAGAAAGTCGTGTTAGTTACACTATTTATAACTCAAGAACGGCTACATCGATTTAGATGAAAACTGGTGGGGAGGTAGGTTAGAACCAGGAGACGGACATAGGATACTTTTTACCCAATACTTTTTTTTACTTTTTACCGAAAATCAAGAACGGGAACGGGAAATATCGGGATTGCGCGTACGAAGTCGCGGGCAGAAGCTAGTATTATTATAATTAACAGATTTGGCTCCTCAAATTGAATTTTTCCTGTGTTGGTTGCACATTTCCTAATAAGATTTTTAACTCGTCGAGTACCGTCATTATAGACACAATTATAGAACAATAGGTTGCGGTCACCGGTGACCGCTTGGTGTTTGACAGTTTAGGTACCTACATTTCACACTCAACCATGTTGTGAATCTCGTGTATCTGCAAGATATACTAATAAATTAATATATCTTTGATTATGAACATGCTGATTTTAAACCAGACTAATCTTGCATTCTATATTTAGTAAACATGAAGTCATCTCCAAATTGTGTGACGCAATATAAATATTAGAGTAAGTTCTAAGAACTCACTGGTATATGTTTTAAACTGTCAAACACCAAGCGGTCACCGGTGACCGCAACCTATTGTTCTATAATTGTGTCTACAAAACCGGTACTCGACGAGTTAATGTCATAGTCATGCCATAGTTAAATATTTTATTTTGGTGAATTTTATTATAAGTTATCCACAGTTAAAATAAGTAAGATTTATGGGTATGAAAGAAAACTTGTTTCCTGGCTACCTACATTCTATTTTTTCAAATTCGGGGTACACATAAATTCTCTGTTAGCTTAACCTGTTGTCTGCGGCTATATGAGACACACCAGAAAACTCATTGTATGTCGTCAGATGTCACATCTGCACTCATAAGGTTAATAATTACTCTACATTAGGCAGGAGAGGACCATCGGTTTTAATCAAAATAGATGCTAAAAAACTGGTTAAATTCTTACATATTATAATTAATAAAATATTTTATTGAAATTTCCAGATGGAGAAAAGAACATGGCAAGGAAAGTTCAAGTGAAGAAGAGTCGGAGGAAGAAAAATCCGGTTCCGGAAGCGAAGACGAGAGTGACTCAGATGATGATGTTAGTATATTTTTATACTGCCTTATACTTTAAAATTTGTATGAATTGTACCTATTGTAACACTTTTATCTGTTAACGTCAGCCAACAGTGGCAAAATGGCACTTAAAATGTTGCTCGATAGTACAATTTTCTCTAGTGTTATAAAAGTGGGCAATTAATAAACTTCATTCACACGCACCATCATCTGTGTGTATGACATAAATATTAGTTCCATGTAGGATTTTAACACATTCCTCAACCCACCGCAGTAAACAAAAACTCGCCACTTGCACACAAGGCCTCTCTGCAAATGTGATAATTTTGTTGTTGAATTAATGTTCTAAATTCTTCTATTGCATATTTCCAGAGACCATCCAAAGTCAAGGGTGTATCAGGCCTCATTGAAGTAGAAAATCCAAACCGTGTAGTGAAGAAAAACAAGAAATTGAACAATTTGGACAATTTAGGCGAAGGAGAGAAACCTCAATTATCAAGGTTGGTAATAAAACATCATATTTTTTGTAAACAAGGAGAAGACAGATGTGTTTCTTCATTGGTCGAGGGATCTCAAGTCCAATTGCAAAGCAAGAGATCTAGAGTTCCTTTCTTGAGTCGGGAAATAATTTTAGGGTTGTTTTAATTACCGAAAATGCCTCCTTAATAGCACGCATCGGGTAGTATCCCCGATGTTCATACATATTCCCCGATGTCGAACATAACATCATAACATTACATCACATCTTTTATCCCCGAAGGGGTAAGCAGAGGTGCACATTTTGCCACTGTACAATGTAACACCCACTTTTCACTAATTATGTTATGAGTCCCATGTAATAGGGTGTAAACCTATTACCATATACTGGGCACAATTCCAGACTCCATGCTACTACTGGGAATTTTTAAAAAACCCAGTAATACTTTGCCTGACCCGGAAATCGAACCGAAAACCCCTTGCCCGACAGTCACACATACGACCACTCGGCCAACGAGACAGTCCCAGGCAACACTTAGAACATAACTCATGATTAGTATGTCTTATTTTGTAATACCCTACCTCTTCAGGGATTTAAAGATATTATGTATAATATGTTTAAAGAGTTTTTAATAACAATTTAATCTTATCACAGGCGTGAACGAGAAGAAATAGAAAAGCAACGTGCTGCGGCGGCGTATCAAAAGTTGCATGCAGAAGGCAAGACCGAGCAAGCGCGAGCTGACCTCGCGCGACTGGCTATCATCCGCCAACAACGAGAGGAGGCTGCCAAACGCAGGGAGGCTGAGAAAAAGGCTAAGGAAGAAACACCCAAGAAAAGGTAAGTCTTTTAAAATACACAATTATATGATTTTTGTACGAAATTATTACTGGTTTTAGCGTGAAATCCGTGTCTTTTTCGTGAAAAATGTGTTTCGTGGAACTGATCGGACATGTATTATTTGCTTCCCATTACTTCAATATTCATCTTATATTATATTTATATAAAGCAGAAAACTTTGATTTTTTTTTGTTTGTTTGTTTGAACGCGCTAATCTCCGTAACTACAAGTCTGATTTGAATAAAATTCTTTTTGTATTGGATAGCGCATTTATCGAGGATGGCTATAGTCTATAGCCTATAGGCTATAAAACATCACGCTACGACCAATAGGAACTGAGCAGAGCGTGTGAAACCGCGCGGAAGTAGCTAGTTTAATATATTTTATTATTTTCAGTTGGTAGTTTTGATCTGCCTCGTTGGCCGAGTG